CCGTTGAGGTGAGAGGAAGCAGCGAGTGCGAGCCCCAGATGCAGCCATCCAAATCTTCTTCTGCCAGGCAGTTCGCACGTCTTTGCAAGGGAGGCCGTCGGAGGTGGGCACCGCGTGTCGATTTCAAGGTGCCTCTGCTCTCTGACACGGCCGAAGGTCTTCCAGATGAGGTCGTATTCGAGACCACCCTCCTGCCCAGGCTGCAGGGCCACAACCTTTGCAAAGCGAAGGTTTTTGCCAGGGACGGCGGGAGGGCGGCTGGGAGCGGGTGGGTGATCTGCTGATTGAAGTGTGGTGGATATGCATGGTCAGGTGTCATGTCCCTTGCTGGCAAGTGTCTAGGCCAGCCGAAGACGAAGGACCTCCGACGACAAAGGTCGAGGTTTCTGCGTGGTGAGTTTCCCTCTTGGGCGAAGCAGTATGCAGGGTGGACTGTTTCTGGGCATGGTTCCCCGTCCCCCCTGGACCTGCTGGCCCTCCTCAGGGCCGCTCACAGAGGGATCCATGTCAGGCGAGCTGATGACAAAGATCATGCCGCTGCTGATCCAGGCCTGTGGGAGGAAAGGTGGAGCCCTGCCCAGCTCCTCTCAAGGTATGGCCTGGTGATACCCGCTCCGCAGTCACACGTTACTGGGTGAGTGAGTTTTGTGTTTGGGGCGGCTGGCACTCGACGGCCGCTTCCATTGAGTACAGTACAGTACAAAAGGCTGTTATACTTGCTGTTTCGGGCCCCAGGGGAGGCGAGAATCGTTGTTCGACATCTGGGGGTTATCATCAGACGGATGAGCGGGAGTATCATGAGTACGCACATAGACTGGAGGTGGCTGGACTCGCGCGGGCTGCTACGAGGCAATTCTGAGGCCAGGATGGAAGTCCGATGAAAATCAAACGTCTTGTGTTCCTGGGCCCAGTCTATAACTCGTACCTTTCGGGCGGGGACGCGCGCTTTCCCTCGCGGCAGCTCCGTGGTCAGGTGGGCCGTTTTGCGCGGACTCATGGTCGGGCGCTGCTCATGGGCGGCGCTAGTGACATGGAATGCGTCGACCAGAGGAATGCGATTCGCTGCCGTACTTCGTCAAGCGAACAGGCGCGATCCATTGCGGCGATCCCCGCGGCCGAGAATGCGTCTTGCAATCGGATGTTGGCCTGGGTCCAGAAAGCTGCCCAACGCCCCCAGGACAACGTCGCTCTCCTTGCTGTTCTCACAGGTCGATTCAGAGATGGCCATGAGCAGATCATTTCCATTGGCAACTTCGCTCATCATGCGAATTCGCGTTTCAAGCTCTGTGGCGAAGATATGTCTGCCTTGGGGCGGGGGGGACCTCGCGCGCGGGATGCTCTTGAAGGCCGCGGGTGGTTCAGTCTGTGCGAATCGGATACTCGCCTCTTCCGACCTCCTCGGGGCTTGCTGCGGCGCCAAGTGTCTGTCTCCGAACGCCAGCTCAGCATCGCCAACGGTTATGTTGCTACGCGTGCGACCTTGCAGAGGAGACGGGGTGCAGGCGCGCGCGCGCACGTCGTTCACTTCGTCGGTTTCAAGCTCATCGAACACACCATCACAACATGCGCGCGCGGCGGAGGCAGGCGGCGGCATGCAACCAGCGCCCCTGGCGCGAGAAGCGCATCTCTGGCACGGGCACGGTCCGTCGGCGCATGGGGGCTCGAGGGCGAAAGGGTTCTCCGGGCTGCCCTGAGAGAGGAGGCTCGGCGATCTCGGGCTTGGCGACTCTCCGAGCCTCATCCCTACTTGTGCGTCCGTTCTCCTGCACCTCATCGGCGTTACCATCTCTCGCGGCTCATCGCGCGCGCGGTCAAGCGCACTTTCCCGACGGCGCTCGTCCTGTCTCGAGGATGGACGCGCTGGCGACGGCGGCGTCGGCGGCCCCAGCCAGCCAGCACAGGGCCGCCGGCTCGGCGGGCATGGGCCAGGACTTGAGAGACCCGGCGTCGCAGCGGCCAAGAGTGTTGCGGGCCTGGACGGGCCCGACAGGCAGATGCAGGGAGTTCTAGGACTGGCGGCGATCGCGGCCGAGCCTCATCCGCACGCGGCGCGGATCAATACGGGCACCGAGCACTGCGACGCCGAGAAGACGGCGGCATCGTCATCGGGGGAGAGCGCCGTGCTCGTGCCAGCTCATGTTCGAGCACGGGCCGAGCTCGCCCACATCGCGAAGCAGGGCCGGTCGGTCCCAGAGGAGAAGAAAGCCCGTCATTGCGCGCCATCAGAGCCAGAAGGGCATCGAGGCGGTCCGCGGCCATGCATCCACGCGCTACCGGAAGAAGCGTATCGGCAGAAGGCGTGGGGCAACAAGGGCCGCTGCAAGATCGAACTCGCGGTCGTTCCCGAGCTCGGGGGCGTCGCGAACGAGATCATTGCAGCCGTCGCGCTGTTCCAAAGGTCGAGATCAAGCGCGGGGCCCCTCCTCGCAACCCGAACATTCTGAAGGTCGTCGCCGGCCTCGTGAAGCCCAGGGAGTTCGAGGAGCAGCCGCGGGCGCGGTGGCCACCAGCGTCGGATCTACGCAGCCCCAGGGGCCGACAGTCGGACCTACGCAATCCCAGGGGCCAAGCGTCGGATCGACACAATCCCAGGGGCCGAGGCGATCGTCAGGTCTTCGCACTCCCAGGAGCCAAGCGTCGGATCTACACAGTCCAGAGAAGTGCAGTAGCGAGCATCATGATGACTGAGATGGGCATCGTCGTGTGAGCGCGCTGAGGGCAGAGCGTGACCAGGTCGCGCTTCTCGCGGCGCCCAGCTGAGAGGCCTTTTTCGGCTATTCCGCCCGCATCGACTTCAGGGCGGCGCGTTTTGAGCAACAATGGTAATGCGATTTTTTGCCGAGGATTCGAGTCACGAGCTGGAGTTCTTTCGCGCAGCAGTGGGCGACGTTCAGGTGTCCGGACGCACCCTGCTGGACTGTGGGCGGTGGGGGCCACTTGTTCCCATTGCCGCCCCTGTGCCAGTTTGGGGGCCAGCGCTTCGTGACAAGAGCTTCTCTCGCACATTGTGCCACTCGGGAGTGCGCACCGGGCCGTCCACAAACTTGGGGGGGGGCATGCATCACGGGCCTCGCGACCGTGACTCCAGCTTGCTTGAATCATACCCTGCTTGTGTGAATTGGCGGGCAGGGAATCTTATCGGGCCATGCAGAAAGATTCAACAACAGCATCACAAGCATCATCCTCCTTATCGCCATCACCATCGTTTTCCTCGTCGTCCTCCCTACCTCGAACTGGGCTCAGCGACGAACTGGAAGGAGTCCCGATCATCAAGGTCAAGGAGCGCCTTGGCCAGAACACCATGGCAAACGGTCGCATCACGCAGATGCAGCTGGACCGTTACCATAAGGCAGATTCGCAAACCAAGGCTGGCGCAGAGCTAGCCCCAACCTGCCCAGGCGGCCAATGGGTGCTGGGCGCTGGTATGCACGAGGCGATGTTCATTGACAACAAGACCAGGGGCAGCATGGGGATGGAGGCGCCCAAGATCATCGGCCTGGACGAGCTCCCGCCGGAACCCGGCGACTTCTGCGACGACCAGGAGCACGTCCTCGACCAGCCAAGCGGCCAGCTGGCAGACCCGCCGAGCTTAGAGCTGGAGCAGCGGCTGGGGCAGCTCGTGGACGAGGGGCTCGCGACCAGTGGCTCGCACGTCCAGGTGGCCCCCCCTCCGCCCCTCTGCCGCTGCCCGCCCCGGCGGGTGGAGCCAGGGTTCCCTCGGAGGCTTCAGGCACGGCGGCGCGCCGCCGCCCAGCCTCGGCGGGCCCCCCGGCCGCGGCGAGCCAACGGCCGCCTCATCCTCGCGGCGCCTGCTTGCCCTGCCGACGAGGCCAAGAAGGGTGCCCAGTTGGCAACGAGTTGGCACTGCTTGGGCTGTGCGTCTGGGAACAAAGGCCGGTGCTTGGCCAATCCGTGCCCGCTGGCCCCGACTGCCAGCGCACCAACTGATCGCAGTGCACTTTTGTCGGTCAGGCGCCGTTCTGAGCAAGGGAAAGGCGTCCTGGGTGCCCGCGCCCGCACGAGTTCCGGGCCGAACACCTCGATGGGCCCTCGGCCGCCCAGAAGAGGCCGGGCCCCGAGGGCCCACCACCGACGGGCCTCAGCAGGCCCATTCTTTTCCATGCGCTCGGCTCCCATGGGCCCAATATGGCTAAGGCCCAGGCTCTGGGGTCCCAGGCGGTTGAGGCTAGAGCTCGGCGAGAGCAGGAGCCCGAGTGCCCGCTCGAGTATGATAGGACGCAGGCCGCCATTTTGACAGGGACGGGCCTCCTCCTTGTGGCCGTCGGGATGTCTGGTTCGTCCCTGGCCCCCCAATGCCACCATCGATTGCTTGCACGGCTGAGTGTCTGACGGTCTGACAGGGTGAGTTTCTCTGCCGCGGCAAGACAGAATTTGCGGGGGGCCTTGGGTGAGGGGGGTCGCCGACGCGGCCGGGACCGCCTCTCGGATCCGTGGTCAGAGCGCATTCCGAGCAAGGTCTGGGTCGAGGGGGCGACTTGTCGCAGCTTATCGTGGGAGGAGGAGGAGGAGGAAAAGGAGGAGGATGCAGAGGATGAAAATCAATCGATACCGCTACCCCACCCTCGTCAGCACTGCTGGATTCGCTTCGACATCCTGGACAGAACGCGCCGCGGGAGAGGTCTTGGCGGCAGCGGTCGCGATATTTCAGTTGCCCCCCCGAGGACCACGTGGATGAGGATGGCGAGAATGAGGGTGTCGAGGGGGGGGGGGCCATTTGCATGCGAGTGCCGGCCCCGTGGCTGACTGGGCGCATTAGCGGGGGATGCATCTTGACGACGCGCCGATTTGAATGTTGGGCTTGCCGAAGGCTGAATCACGTTTCTTTGTCTCACTGTCGTTCCCAGGCGAATGGAATGTTCGCGAAACGAACCCCTATCCATCCCGATCCGATTGTTTCCGCTTTAGGCTTCGTTTTAGACTGCGGCGACGACGGCGGTGGCGGGTTCGACGGACTGCGACGGCGACGTCGGTGCCGCGAGGCCATCGTCATCAGCCTCGAGCGGCGGCCCGACCGCATGGCCGGGTGCGAGGCCAGGCTCCGCGAGTTCTGCCCCGGGCTGCGCTACAGCCGCTTCACCGCCACCGACGGCCGGCTGACGGCGACACGGGAGGGGGGAAGGCAGAGGGGGACAAAGTATTGGTATCGTCACCTTTCGCTCATTTTAGCCTTTTCTGGCCTCGTGGGTGGCCCTCGTCGCCACGGCTGGATTCGATTTTCAAGTCCTGGTCAGAACGCACCCCGGGTGAGGTCTGGGGGAAGTAGCGATATCGGTCCTGTGCTGTGCCGCTCAAAATCGGAGAAAGGAGGAGGCTATTACGAGTGCGCCTCGGCGTTCTTCAGAGCCTGACTCTCTAATTCTTCATCGGAGGGCGGAGCGATTGTTCCCTCCTCGAGCTTACCTCTGTCCCTAAGATCGGCCAGCCCGAGACAAGAGTCCAGTTCGGGGAAGCCCTTCAAAATCTGAGAGAATCCCCAAGGTCGACGCCGAGCCAAGGCGATGCCGCTCACAGGGATGCGGATACGTCTCAGACCGGTAGGGACAGGAGAAGAAACAAGGCTGCCACGAGTGCACCTCGGCGCACTTCAGAGACTGACGCCTCTGATGTTTTACAGGGTGGCTTCAGCGAGGGGAAGTGAGGAGGATTAGGATGAGGTATGCACATCAATCGCTGTGTGGCCCAAGTCCCAGGCACAGCGATACTACGACGTGCGCGCACTGAAGCATCGCGCGTGGGAGTTGTACTGAAACGAATGTTCGTCGTACTGTCATAAATCCTTCTCCGGATCTCGCAGGAGGAGGAGGAAGAGGAGGAGGAGGAGAAGTGAGGTGGGTAGAGAAGGGGTGGGAAGAGGGTGGAGGAGGGGGCACCGCCGCCCTCGACCGCCTCGTGTGCACAGTGACTTCTCCCTGCAATCACCTGCATTCGGGCGCGCCTGGGGCTGAGATTCGAGGAGGCTAGCGACCACTATTGCAGCCAAGACGCTGAAATCAGGACCACTTCGGGGCCAAGAGGGGCTCTGGTTTTCGGGCGCCGTTCCTTGGATCTAGATCGGGGGACCTGCTCTTGGCCGAGGCTCGCCGTAACTGGAACCAGAGCCGCCCCTGTTCAGGGACGCTGCACTCCTACTTCCCGTGTCCCGATGCTGTTTTGC